TGAACTTATCATAACTATCTGTAATACTCGGTAACATAGAAACAAAACAATAAAATAAGAATAGAATAAAAATATAATAAGAGTATAAGAATTATACTAACTTTAACTTATTACCGTTTAGTTCATTGGTGAATAAACACATATTTACTTTGTTGCGTGTACTGTTTATTCCCATAAAACGTCACCAAAGAAATGTAGAGGTATTGCTACTGTTAAACATGCCCGATCAGGTAAAAATGCAAAAAGAAAACGAATGATTTATGTTTGTAATTGGGTTCGTAAAAATGATCGTTAAGTTAAATATAATATTTGTCTGTAGTACTTTATAACTGTACATCAAACAATCACTATTATACTTTACAATATAATACACGTATGATTTGTCAACTATTTTGTTTATTGGAAAAAAAGTAGTGAGCAATCAACAACTATTGTTGAAACGCCTACATTAGAAGCTGATGGATCACTTTCACAAATATCATTTGTAATGTATGACACTCCAAAGTATGTAAAATTTTTGCTTTTACATCAGATTTTTTGTTTTCCCATTATTAAATTATTGTTTTCCTATACAGACAGACTGTAGTACCTGTAAAGAATTAGTATAACATTGTTGTAAAACAGGTTACAGGACTGAAATCGATTTCATGAAAATATAGTATACGACATATTTTTTAAGTTTTTACTCAAATGATCGGTTGGTTTTCTTTGTTTGGAAACCCCTTTATGTATTTTTATTATTATCTTCACTTTTTAATTTTGTATAAACACAGATCTTATTTAATTTTCTTTTAGCAATGCGTTATTTCAAGAAAATAATAATGATATAGATATAGATAATGCTCAAGACGTGACTAAAACCGAATATGTGTAATTAAGTTTTTTTTATTTTTTTTCTCTAGTAATTCATGACACTTGATTAAGTACGTTAAAAATTATAGAGATTTAGTTGGAAGACTCATTATTGACATTGGCTATATTTTTGAACAAATAACATTTTGTCGAGATAAAGGTGGCACAGATTATTCATATCTTGATATGACATTTATATCAGAGATTGGATCAAGATATTTTTCTAAATTAAATTTCAATATCAAATTTGCCATTATGATACTTCAAAATATTCCAAAAATTCATATGGAAATACTTGCCAATAAATAAGTCAATAGTAAATTGTAGTATTTTAGTATGTTTATCTACGTAAATAACTAAATTTTATAATACGTACCGAATAGTATTGTTTATCGCTAAAGGAATTGGATACGCACAGCTAGCTGAATTTTCTGCGGCTGTTGAAATACCATGTATGAAAAATGGGACTTACATAAATATACATGACAATCTTAGTACTGGTATACATAAAACCGCATGGGATTAAATGAAAAAAGCTGGTGTTGAAGAGAGAGAAATGGTAATCGATAATGATGATTTTGATGTAGATAGTACCCCCATGTGTTGTGTAATCACTGATGGCCAATGGCCAAAACGCAGTTATAAGTCTAAGTATAATGCATTATCAGGAAGCGTACGATATTATTTTTAAATGTTCTAAATCAAAAACATTGTCTAAATTAAGGTTTAATAAATAATCTTGGGTTGAAGATAATTATTGTTATTATTAATATTAAATAATATTTAGGTAACTATTATTGGGTACAGAAATAAAAATTTTTTATTCATTGGAATACGAAATAAGTATTGTGTTACATGCCAAAGAGCAAAAAATCGGAACGAAGTAGTCAAAAAACACCTATGTTTTTTAAATTGGAATAAACCTTCTAATGCTATGGAAGCTAGATGGTGTGGTCGAAGGATTTTCGTGCAGTTTAGAGATGCACGGTTTAAAATGTAATAAATTAATCGGTAGTAATATATATATAAATTATTATACAATTTATTTTATGAATAACTTTTGGTTCTTAAAAATATTTTTGAATGAAAATTATGTAGGTAACGGAGATAGTTCTGTGTCTAATAAGTTAAGGGAAATTTTGCCTTATGGACGAGACTTTTTTATTTAAAAAATAGAATGCCAAAACCATCTATTAAAAGGAATTATATTTAAAAATTGTCAGCCATACCATTAAATACGATATTTCCTATTACTTTGCGCAAGTTAATTCAGTCTAATATTTTAAGGTTTCGTTCTGAAATCAATAAGGCAATAGAATTCAGAAAACAACAACTAACACTTTCATCATAATAAATAACCGGTATACATTTATAATTATATTTTTAAAACCCCTTTCCATATTTTATAATATAACGCATGTTTAAACATTTTCTTCTTTATTTGTAAACCTTAAAATATATATTTCAAATAGTGTGTATTACAGATTAGACCAACATACAAATTGTGCCAGGTATTTTTGTCAAGGTAAAATTATTGTGAAACAAACTTAGTACCAAAGGCTGAAAAATGTAGAATAACTAGAGAAATAAACCAAATACTTTTTCGCCTAACAAGCAATGCATCTAGTCTCATAAATGATGTTGATAACAATCCTTGTGAAACTTTTAATAGCGTTATTAATAAGTATATTCGTGGTAAGAGAATATATTTTTTTCAAAAGAATTCGTATAATACTAGAGTGGAAGCTGAAATTATTGCGTACAACTCAAACACATATTTAAGACAAATTCATAAAACTATTCAAGATGGAAGTTCGAGTATTTTAATTCATATTTATTTTATTTTTATATTCAGAGCAAAAAATGTATTTGTTTTACAATTATGTATTTATTTTGAATCTCAAATTTTATAACTCTGAAAAAATAACCGTAGATACTTAAATAAAATCTTCTACGAATGTTTAAAGTAGTACTTACAACCTATTATTTTATATTTATTTAATATTTATTTTATAGTTTATTTTTCTGTTTGACGACTAATACATTACAATTTAATTTCAATTTCTGCTGATAATCATTAAAATTTAGTTGAATTAACATTGATTCCGGGCTTTATTTGAAAAAAAAAAAATATTATACGTTATTTACAAATAAAACATACATATTTTGAGATTATCATTATTATGAATTAAAACGTTGTACAACTTTTGCGTTTATCATTATTTAGAATTAAGATAATATCTAATTCAGGAATAGTCCGGATTGAAGTAGATATTTAATTACTGATAATATTCTTCTCCTTATTTAAATATTCTTATGGGTTTTGATTTAAGATATAAATGATATAAACCAATATTTTTTTTTAACAGGGGATGTATGTAAAAAATATTTAAAAAATATAAACCGTATCCGTCATAATAATAGAGTTAGATGACTAATGTTCCCTGAAAAAAAAAAATAAAAATAAACATAAAAATTGATCACTACAATCAACGTCAGCTGATTAAAACTATAGATTAGCTAAACCATTGGTTACTTATTGACTTCTGAAGATTTTGAAAAAAAAAACACATTTATGCAAAAACTATGTATTATAGATAGAAATACATTAGAGATTTCTACACGAGGATAAAGAAATAATCCTAATTGGTTCAAAGAAAGAAAACTTAGGTTTACAGCGTCCACTTTGGAAACATCTGTAAAATGCGATCATATACGAGCTGCAAAATAATAGTGTATAATCTATTGTACGCACCTAATCCTTAAACTAAACAACTTATGGTCATATTATGGAATCAAAGGTTATAACTAAATGGAGGAAATGTATAATGTAGTTGTTCAGTCTTGCGATTTATTTATTGATTCAAACATTTCATATTTAGTTGCTAGTCCAGGTAAACAATTAACATTTTTACTACAAGAAGTTGTTTTTCAGATTTCAATAATACCTAATTATTCTTTAAAGATGGGTTTATTGGAGAAGATGCCATAGAAAAAAATCAAATATCCTTGTGTTGCTCGTCAATCGAATAGCCTAGTTGAAGCCATCAACAACAAACTAGTAAATGTTTATAATTTTATTTGATCAATTAAAAAATGTCTTACAGTTAGAAAATAATGTTTATAAAATAAATTCTTTTTGTGGATGCTCTTGAATTTATGAGACTTGAGTATTTTATTATCTATTGATATAAATTTATAGTTGTCGAAAAATTGGTTATTGAAAAATTCAAAGATTGAATTAAAAAGAAATAGTAATTATTACTACCAAGTAATCGGTCAACTTCATATTATTCGTAGAAAACTGTGCAATTTTGTGGTGTACACAGAAAAGTGGACAACGGTTGAAATAATTGAATACGACAACACCATTTTGGAATCAAATGTGTGAAAAATTAACATCGTAAGTCTTAATTAGAAATTACTGTTTTCTTTTTAATCTATACATCATCCAATTGTATTATAGAACCAAAACCAGTATATTTTGATATAATTACTATTTTTTAGATTTTACTGTGATTGCCTTTTACTGGAGTTGTTTGAACCTTTGTACTGTAAAAGGATGTTGGTAAGTGATATAAGAGACCCACCCGATGTTCTAAAAAAGTAAGAAGACAGAAACAAAATTTTATCACTAAAATAATTACAGACTGTATAAATCAAAAATTAAACCAAATTATAAATTTTAATTACGTATTTAGTTATAGTCTTAAATTATAATAGATTCTTTATTTATAATTGATGTAGGTACCTAATATTAATCTTACATACATATATTATTGTATTATATCTATTCAACAGATAAACATTTAATAACAGCTATATAATATTTTATATTTGTTATACAAATAGTATATGTTTTGTGCCTATAATTAATTCAAGAAGCGCGTGTATGTTATAACCATAGCGGTGATATTCAACGTATGGAATTCCATTATATTATTATGATGAGATTTATCGAACACGACTATCCATGTAATAATAAAATACGCGCTTCCGTAATAAAACTCGGCGGACCGGCAGACCATCAATCATCAGATAGTGGGCGTGATTAAACGCGTGCATGCGCCGATCAAAACATCTAACAGCGCGTTCTCTCGGACTTCGCATTCGTTTCACTTTCGGTGTAGCGTCCTCTTAAACTAGAAATGAAGAGAGTGGAAATAAACATACAAGGGTTGATCGAAGTTATATGGTCAGGAAATGGTGATTTCTGGTCAGACGATTACCATGTCACCTATTCTGGCGATGAAAAATTAGGAAGAACTGGTACAGGATTTATTATAAATAAAAAATGGGGCCACCAAATAGTGAAAAAAATAACATATATCGATAGGCTTAAATTAATTAAGCTTAGAGCTAAACCAAATTATATTGTATGATTACTAATTCAAGTGTACTTCGTCATATCAGATGCAGAAAATGATGTAGAAGAGATCTGTTCTGTCTTAGAAGAGCTTTTAAAATTAGCAAAAGGAGATGATAATTTAATAATTATGGGAGATTGTAATGCAATAGTAGGAAAAGGTGCAAAAGGTCAAGAAGTAGGAGAATTCGGACTAAGAACTAGAAATGAAAGAGGAGACCACCTTGGTGACTTCTGCAGGCAAAATGATATGATCATAGCCAACACATTCCAAAATATTATTAACTGGCAAAACACTTATGTTATGATGTGCTAAAAAGAAGAACGAATTCGTAGAATAAATATCCTATGAGGGAACAAGCTGCTTGAACAAGTAGAACATTATAAATTCCTAGGCAGTATAATCAACCTAGACGGAAGATGCATCATAAAAATGAGATCCAGAATCGCACAGGTAAAGTCAGAATTTATGAAAAAGAAAAAATTGCTATGCTCCAATAAAATGAGTATTAAAATAATAAAATGTTTCATAAAAGTATATGTATGGAGTGTGGCACTTTATGGTTACGAAAAATTGGATAACAAATAAGACAGAAAAATGAACACTTGAAAGCTTCGGAATATGGTGTTGGAGAAGAATGCTGAGATTGAGTGGAATAAAACACCGTACCAACGAAAACATACTCAGTGAAATAGAGAAACAAAGAGAAATACTCAGTCATTAGAACAAGACGATGGAACATGATGGGTCATATATTGAGACACGAAAATAAACTAACCCATAGAATAATATAAGGGATAATTGAAGATAAAAATGTCCAAGAACTTCATTTGTCAAACAAATGATCTCCGAGGCTGGATTAACAAGTTACACTGAACTGAAAAGGCTAGCTGAGAATAGAGAAAAGTAGAGAGCGAATATCCATTTACAAAACAAATCTTGAGGGTTAAATACCAAAAAAAAAGAAGACCATATTAACTATGCGAAAGTAATGTAATAATCCATTGGTCTTAATTATGTAACGTATAAGTACATAGAACGCAGTGTACACATTAAAAACACACTTTTCTACTGAAATGATTCATTCGTCTTCGTTAGTTGTTCGTATTTATACCATATGATACATTTTCCTTATTAATGCTGTTCATTGGAAACTACCGAATTACGCGTGGGACAAGTTAATTCTAAAGTGATTACATTGTGTGTATATAGATGTTTCATCTTCGACATAATTCCTTACGGAGCAAACGTGACGTAGTGAGCATACTAGCTTAGGATTTTTGACGTCGATCAACATTGTTTTATGTCTATTATATTATTACAATTACGTACGGACTTTCGAGTGTACAGATGCTGAGAAATGCACGTTTGGTGTTTGATAAGATATTCAATTTTGATAATAATTAATAACTGTATTTACACCATAATATGTTATAGCTTGTAGCTTGAAATATAAGTTAAAATTTTTTGTGATTCGTATTTCATTACAAGTTTTTGGTGTTTTACAGCCATCTCCTTAAGAAATGATAACTGGTATATCGCATTAAAATACGACGATAACTTTAAATAAATATTTTTCGTTATTTTTTAATTAAATAACTTAAAAATTAATTACAAGCACATAATTTGTTAAGTAATTTGAGCTTTAGATATTTCATTAAAATTGAATGGCACGCCCGATATTGAAATAGATAAGTATGATGTATCACACAAATGTAAATATGCAATACTTCTTACGTTGGAAAATTATAATCGTACTTGGTAAACTTTATGGTTTATTTAATAACTGAGGTCCAATTTATTTATTTTCGTTAATAAGTTTCGATATAATGTAATAAACAATTTAAATATTTTCTTAAATAGTTATTAGAACTTAAATTTTTTCTTAAATGTATTGAAAAAAAAAACGTTTTCAAACTTTAAATTTCACTGAACTCATTTACAGTAATAAAATGTAATTGTGTTAATTCGAAAATAATAGTAAATTTAAAATACAAGAATAAATAGTTTTGTTAGAATCAATTTAAATGTATTTTTTTGTTTAACCATTGACATATTATATTATTATGGGTTAAGAAAATATCCATTAATTTTGTTACATGTGGATGAAACAATCATCAGGTAAAATAATTTTTCTTTACAACTCTATTCAATAGTTATACATTTTGTACAACTACTGATACTACATGATATGTATCATGTAACCTCATTTCATACACATGAATAACTAACCATGCTATTAAAATATTATACTTATATTGTCATTTTTATGTTTTATGTTAATAGAATGTACAACTCGTATTATGCATACTAATGTGTTATGGTAGGTATACAAAATGTTTTTTGAAAGCCGAGTGCGTCTACTTTTACATCTACCACCGTGTTTGTGAGAGAAGTTCTTTTTTTTTTTGCGCAAACACTTCACAACATCAACGGAGAGCAATCAACCTGCCCCCGGCTGCAACCTCATCCTGTCATGCGGGAATCGTTTTCAGTGTCGTCATCAGCTGAGCGCACTGCTTGAACCAATGCCATTATCCGATAAAAATACCACACACGTAAGTGCGTGAATTGATGCAACGCCATCACTATTCGGCACAGCAACAGCAATAACGCAACATTATATTTTGCAATGAAATGTATATTATTAATAATGTTATATCAAAAAACAATATGTGAAACTGAATTACTTTTACTGAGATAATATTTACATTACATATATTTATTTTTAATTTTATGTATAAACATAATCCTTGCGAAAACTAAAACTGATTTAGAATATTAAAACACGATTTGAAAATAAATATACATATAATTTTTTTTTAATCATCCATTATTTTATTATGTGTATAAAACTGAATAAAAAAATGTCGATAATCCTTGTTTATAATGAAAACAAAATGCGGCCATTTTCGTAATGACTATTATCATCGTTAGTTTTTACGGAAAAAATATTCCTTTTTCTAATTATATTATTATATTGAACAAAATATAAATCGGTTACTATAGATTTTTGACACATTATATACAATACTCAAAACCAGAAGATATGATCAAAAATATCGGTGAATCAGGGAGAATATTAGAAGACGACAAATATGTTTATTCAGATTATTAATAGATATAAAAGGTAAACAATGATAATATTCTATTAAATTAAATATTATAATGATTATAAGTAAAAATTAATTTTAGATGGGTACCCAAATTATGTACATGTATTTATATCATATAATGACGATATGTGACGCATGATGTACACACACGTAACAAAAATAATAAAATTGCATCGGTATGCACATAATCGCGAATATTATTTTTTCTATGATGGTACCAACTTGTTCGTCGTTATAAAAAAAAAAAACAGTGGTCAACGCGATTTAAGTATACGGCAGACGGTGTCTCTAAGTACAGAAAAATAATAGTAGACTCGAGCCTCGATCCCGAAACAAAATTGTGAAGATAAATGACGGTTTTTAGATTTGTAACACCCATTAGCAGTGAGTACTGTAACGATCTAGAGTACACTGTCATCACCACGAATAACGAGCTCGTGCGATGGAGCTTCCAGGCTATTGGCGGTATATTTAGAGTACGTAAAATGACTAAATTCTCAAATTGGGTATTAATCTGTGGTAGTTTCCATTTAGTTTAAATTTAAAAGTTTGACAAAAGTTCTGAAGCCAACGACGGAGACAGTTCTGTTCGTACACATAAATCACATATAAATTCTGGCAATACTATTGAAGACTGTGTAAAACGACATATAACCACTCTTTTGTTATGTGATATCGGATTTCGCTACAGCTCTGTGACGGAAATTTTGTTTTGATGTTTTGTTAATACCAATTGAGACATACAGCTCGGGGTTATTATAAAAAAATTGAGATCCTAAATCAATAAATGCTCATAGTCTACTGATCATATTTGTCATACATATGAAATATAACAATATCCATTATATTTAAGTTTGTGTTGCGTTTTAGGATTGATTATGTTTAAACTTATGATTATGTTGAAAGTATTACGATGGATCGTAAGGAGGTTTCTCCCTTTTGCCCATTTTGTAATATAGTCCATAAGATGTAAAGATTATACCACAAGAGGCCGCCTGTAGCACAACGTAACATATTACTCATAATTGAGTCAAACGTTGCTATGCACCGCCTTGTTCATATTCGACCGTCAGTAACATAGAACAGAGCACCAATAGAGAACGCATTTTGACAAAACATGTTAAATGTAACATAATGTATGGTTCGGGGAAAGAAGATTCTTAATATATAGGACTCTAAATATAGAAAATAGAAAGAGGAGATCCAAATCTATGCGTTGGTCAAAATTATAAGATGAAACTATTAAACAAGGAATTACACAAAAGTCAATTTGCAACGATAGAAAACAAAATTTGGCACATATACACATAAGATCACGTTTCCGAAGGGAAAAAACAACAAATCTCAGTCCTTGTAATAGTTTATTAAAGGTTTAGAGCTCTGGGTTCTAAGAAATCCGTACTGTCGGGCTGCCTAAACTGTATACTTGATCCTATATACAAACGTTCTTCTTGGTGTGTGTCTACTTATCGCTCTGGGTATGGAGTAATCCGTACTGTCTAGCTGATTAGGGAAGCACACATGCAAGACTATATTCCTCTACGTTATCTCCACCCCATATTTTACACACGGTCTATTTATTAACTGCCATGCATTTTGCCGCAGTCCACATTACCATCAGTCCATCGTTATATAAATACATCACTATCGTGCGTGCTGCCGCAGTCCACACTATTATCTCATCGCAATTATTTTTTTTTATTTAATTATTATTATTATATTTAATATATATATATATATATATATATATATATTTACAAAATATATGTTTACATTTCAAGTTTGTAAATAAATAAATTAAGTTAATGTTCATCAACAACAAATAAAGAAACGTGTTGAGTTACAAGGAGTAGTGTCAAAACAAGTGATGTTTTGTAGTATACTGACGAAAAATATATTTAAATGTACATTTTGAAGAAATATGGCTAGCACTGAAACAATGTACACATATATGACGAAATTATTTAAGACGTCTTGATGGAGATAGTAGGCGTTCTTCACATTTACAAAAGTTATGCAGAGCGTTACAAAGCCCACAGCTTTTGGTGAAATCGAACGAGTTAACTATAAGAAATGCATTTGTGAATTTTGAAACCTTCTTAGATGGAAATGGTGACTTGATCTTCGTAGAGAACATTTATGTAAAAAAACTTAATGAAATATTTCAAAGAATCTAATATCTTGTACAAACGCATTTCA